CAGGTCTTTAGCTTTCCTCACCACTAAAAATCCACAGACATTTATGTAGTGCTTTCTGTATAATTTAAAGTGCTAGGATTTCAAAACATAACATGTATAAATATTATAGAATCATCATGCTTGTAAAACCCTTCTAGAATCCAGTTCATGTCAGATAAATGGTTGACCCATATAGAATAGGTTTAATGTGTCCTCTATTCCTTAAATATCTCCAAGGACAGAGGTGCTGCCTTGTAAGTTGCTAATTCTAGACTTTCATTCTGATGGTTCAGATGATTCTCTATATTCAAGTGCTTAAAATTTTCGTCTGTTTCCTCATATAGGTTTACTTTGTGGATATGTGTGTTTGCCCTATGACTTCAGAGTTAGAAACAAAATGATACTACTACTACTACTACTACTACTACTACTAATACTAATAATAATAATAATAATAATAATAATAATAAATGAAGTTCATGCATCTCACTGTCTCTCTCCCTCCCCTGCCCCATAAGTGAGATTTTTCAGGTCTGGATACCTCATTTATGTTTTTTATTATCTCATTACCAAAGATAACTGTGATTTTATTTTATATTCAATATATATTTAATCTGCTGTAATTTAATGTAATGAGAAATTGTGTCAAGCATGTTTATAGCAGCCATAGCCAAAAGGGAAATCACTTTTGCCTAATTGAAGAAGAAACAAAAGTGTTCACTCTTGTAGCTTCAACCTCAACTAGCCTTTTACACATCAGATTCTGTTTATTCCATTTGGATAACTTGTACTTTTGTGCTCCCTGTATGAATTATTGCTATGATAATATCAAAGAAAAATGACTTCTTTGAGTGGAGAGCTTGGTACTAACTAAAGTATTATAAGAACCTGATGGTTAAAGAAATTATGATAACACAAAATAGTTTAGGAAAAAATACCCTAATATATATATGTCTAATGAGAAATTGATAGGAAAAATGCATACCCAACTGCAACTGGGTTATGCAAACTTTGGATGAAATACATGATACAAAAACAGGGCAATTTCTCAAAGGCTTTTATTCAATGGCCATAGAATGATTTTCAGTCATCAAGGTTAACACCTCATCTAAGGAGTGCGAGTTTAGATCCAGAGAGTCCATATCCATTTGGATTTGAAAGCAATCTTAAGTGATAAGGTACTGACACACTGAAGTTCTTTAAAAAGAAACTTCTATCTCATAGTTCGGTCATCTTTTTTTCCTTCTTATACTGGATTAAGGAAGACACATATGAATGACTGACAAGAACTTCCAAATTGCTAATTTGATCCTCTGCTTCATCTAATCTACTATTGATTTCCTCTAAGTAGTCTCTGTTTCGGTGATTGTATCCTCTGTTCTGACTGGTTCTTTTTTCATATTGCCTATCTCCATTTTTATGTTTCCTATCCCTTTGTTGAAGCTCTCAGTAAGCTCCTCGAGCGTCCTTATAACCAGTGTTTTGAACTCTGTCTCTGGTAGGTTGCTTGTCTCCATTTTGTTTAGCTGTTTTTCTGTACCTTTGTTCTATTCTTTCATGCGGGATATATTTGCTAGTCTCTTCATTTTGGCTGCCTCCAGTGTTTGTTTCTATGCATTAGGTAGAGCTGCTATGTCTCTCGGTCTTAGAAAAGTGGACTTATGGAGTAGGTATCCTGTAAATCTCAGTGGTGCAATTTCCCTAGACACCTGAGCCGGGTTCTGCAGGTCTGTTTCTTATGTGGGTGCCCTCCTGTTGTAGTTGAGCTTTGGTTTCTGTTTGTATGTCAGTGGGAGGGATTGATCCTCAAGCTGATTGACTGTGAGGACTAGCTGTGACCACAGTGGAGGAGCTATTGGGTAGGGGCTGACCCTGTAGAGCAGCAGGTGCTTTATCAGGGCTCTGGTGCCTGCCCAGTCTGTCCTTTGGGTGTGTTTTTTATGGAGGTAGTCAGTGGTGCTCTGGTGTGGTCTAAAGCTGGCCATCGTGTGCGTGGTTTCTGAGGCTTCTTGGGAAGGGCTCTATTGCAGGCCAATGTCAGCCACTGCCTGTATCCTGCCCGGGGACATTTGATGTGAGCTACAAAGTGATCTGCAAATGGTTCCACTTGTGCTGGGCTTGGATATGCCTGGGAGAGGATAAGCTGCAAACCAAAGCAGGGTACCTCTAGTGCCCAGCTTGGGGCTGCTTAGTAAGAGATACAGGGTACCCTGAGGCTAGATGCTGCTTGTTTTGGATTTGTGAACCTTTGGGAGGTTTTAGGAAGGTCTGAAACATGAGCCAAAACAGGCATTTATATAAATAAACCACTGGAATCAGGTTGGGTGGGCCTGCAAATTGGGCGGGGTGGGGTCTCAGGGGACCCCAGGGAGAGGATAACAGCATTAGCCAGGTTGATAGAGACTCGGATATGGTGGCTGCTTGTGTCTGCAGGCTGGGTCAACAAAGAAACAATGGCTTCTGCCAGCACTTCTATCTGGGAGAAAGCTACCCCTCCAGCCCTCATTCTGATACCAGACAACTCAGTTCCTCCTCATATGTCCCTGGTGCCTTTTGATCTGCTCCCCCAGTGCTGAAGCTCAGAGCAAGTGAGCCCGTAAGCATGTAAGTTTGTGTGGGGGACCTTTAATAGGAATGCCTGGGACTTCTCTGTCTCACTCAGCTACAACCTCTGCTGGTTTTTACAGCTGGAAGTTGTGGGGATTTATCCTGGCACTGCAACCGAAGGCTGTGGAACCCGGTATAGGGCTGGTACCCCTAACTCCTCAGAAAGGACCTCCACAGCTGAGATATACCTCCTCATTTTTAACTGCCACAGTGGGTGTGGGATCAGCCCATTCTGAGTCTCCACCCCTCTTACCAGTCTTACAGTGGCTTCTTCTGTATATCCTTAGTTATAGGACTTATGTTTAGCTAGACTTCAGGTGATATGTAGTGACGGTTGTTCTTTAGTTTAATTATAATTTTGAGGTGGTCATGAGAGGAAGCAAGCACAGTGTTTGACTACTCCACCATCTTGACTGGAAGCCTTGAAAAGAACGCCTTTTTAAAGTGCATCATCTTCAAATATTTCCTCTACTATGTTTGTAGAGCATGCACATGGGTAATTTTGAAGGCTCACACCATCCATAGCATATGTGCCCCTCGGAAGTCCCACCCTGTGACCTGGTCTATCCTTATATGGAAAGAACCCAGGGATGTATCCTGGAAGCCTCTTTACCATCTTATTAAAAAGAAATAAAGAAAAAAATAAAATGAGTTAGACATGAGAAAATTAGGCACATATAAGTCAGGAAAATGAGTTGGAACCAGAAGTGAGCTTGTGCATAAATTTCAAATCCCAGAGTCATACAATTCTGGCTGTGAGCCTTCTAGAAGTCATATGAGAAAGGGAAACATGATCGGTTACAAGATTAATTGTCCGTAGTTAAAACCGATCAGTGTTATATGAGCATGGGTTTTTGCCAGGAAATAAAGGGAGGGAAATGTCATGGGGGATCTAAAACTTATAAAAATACAAATTTAACAGGCTGGTTTTGATGTACCTATCGAGAGTGCATTTTTCATGTAGTCAAGAAGTAAGCCATGAAAAAATAGACTAGTTGAGTGGCCTTACCTGCATAAGAAATTACTTCCAAACCCTTTGAATTGTTGGATTTGTTAATTCCTAAATAGCTGTTTTATACACAGAGGAGATGTATGTACATAGTTTAAGAGTAGTGAGTTTTTGCGTGGAATTTTATTACTGCAAAATTCTCTCTCCATTGATGCCATTTAGATGAAATGGGTTTCAGGGTAGAACAATGTCCTCAGAAGTGTTGATTTTGCATCACTAGTACATGGATTAAACTTTTTTTAGAAGTTTTTCTTTTTTTTAATATTTCAAATTTTATATCAGTAGGTGTTCAAAAAATAAATTAGTACATCAACCCTGTGATTTTAGAAATATTGTTGAGCTAAAACTAGATTAGTTTTGAAAAGGACAGAATGAATTTGAAGCCAAAATTCTAAAGGTTTAATGTTACAGGAAGCACACAGATAAAGGAACAATTGTGAAGTCGACCCAAGAGGGCCTGAAGTTTGGAAAACCCTTGGTGGCTTTTAGTTCTTTTCAGTCCCTGGCTCATGACAAGCATTAGGCCTTTCTTCTGTGGACTGTGGGTAAGCATCTTGGAGGAATAATAGAAAGGGAAGATTAAGTCTAGAAAGGATTGTGTTGCCTTTTTATTTCTCCCCTCGTTGTGTGAGGTGACAAGATTTCTAGTGTACATAGCTGTGACTTTTAAAATGTTTTTTTTTCCCCTTTCCCTCATGAGTAGCATTTTCCTTACTTGCAGGCAACAATGTGTATACAGTGTACAATGTTTTCTTAGCTTTTTCCTTCTTTAACTTCTCATTTTACAGGTCCTTTGTGCAACATAAACTCTCCTAACATCTCTTTCTTTGCCCTCAAACCTTGTAGTTTGTTTTTCCTTACAGTCCATGTTATAGGGCTGGGAAGCAGATAAAACAGCCTTACTCAAATCAGATAAGATGTTTAAAAATAAAAGATACCATAAGTTACAATTAAATAATGCCCAAGGGTCAAAGTAGTCTCCCTTTCCATAATACCTGCCTAACTCAAATGAGAATTCTCAAGGATGAAGTGTGCTGTAGAAAAATGTACCCACTTACTTAGTGTTTTCTGTCAGATTCAAAATGACATGAAAATTGGAATTATCATAGTTCTCTAGTATCACAGTTGGAATAATTTTATGTTTACATTTTTGTCTCTTATTTTCTGGTGTTGTAGTCTCATCTTAAATCTTATCTGCAATTAAGAAAGAATATGGATTTCTTAATTTGTGTCTTTTATTGCATTTCTTGTATTGCATGTTGATGATGACTTTGTTTCCATTTGTTAATGCTTTGCATTTTAAAAATGAACCCAGCGCTCCACATCTCATATTGAAAATGCAACAAAGGAAAGGAAGCATGAGAGAGAATTACAATAATGTGTTTTCCCTTCTTTTTTTTTTTAGATGGTAAGGTTGAAGTCACAAAAGAAGGTGTGAAGCTGTGTACCATGGGTCCAGGAAAAGTGTTTGGGGAGTTGGCTATTCTTTACAACTGTACTCGGACAGCGACCGTCAAGAGTAAGACTATTTCATTTTTCAGATACTTTCAATGTCTTTTTTCCTTACGTCTGTGGGATGCTGAATAATATGCCTCTTGATTTAGTCTATGCAATTTGATTAATCAGTATTTTAATTTTTGCTTTGCAATGTAGTCAGTATATTTGTTTTCCTACTACAGGATGATGTTAATAGTCAGTTTTGCATAACTTAAATTTTATTGCTGCCTTATGAAAAGTATCCTTTTAACCTGGAATTCTTATAAATTAGGATTTATAAAATGATATAATTTTATAAATTAGAATTAAACAAGAACAAGGCCTTTTCTTTTTCTGCCCTTAAAAACCTCAGGATCATATTTAAGAAATTTTTACATGCTGCTGCTATTTTGGGTTACATTCCTTTCTTAAATTCTACTTGTTCATTCAGTGGTTGAAAAAAATTAAGAGGAGAAATTTTCTTTGTCTCATTCAAACATCAAGTGAGATATATCCTGAATTCTAAAACTGTGTCTAAGTATATTCTTGCCTTCAGCTGCTCATCAAGCTGCATATTATAGCATTTCCCTTTTCTACTGATTGAGCTCATTTTAAATCAGGGCAATAACGCAGTTTGTGTCCCTAACTTTACATGTATGTGTATATATGATTTCTCTAGCAACTTTCATTACTTGGTAGAAGCAGCTGCAATACTTGGGGCAGGGAGGGGAGGGCGGGGTGTGTGGATTGTTTTAAATACTCCTTCCTAACTCCAGGATGTAATGTGTGTATAGCAATCAGAGGTGAATGCATGCAAATGCCAACAATGGAAGGTCCCTTGAATCTTTAGGCAGAGGTGTATTTCATCTTTGAAAAGTTCTCCTGGTATACTCTCCTGTGAATAATGGCAAATAAAAGTTACTTTGATTAGGTTGTGTCATTTTTTAAAATGCTATTGGAAAATCACATTGTTAGTATCAATTAGTTTCACCTGGATGTCACTGACTGTTTTGTATACTAGCTTTTCCTCTCAGAAGTATGACAATAAGTGAAAGTAGGACACTGAAAGTTGGGTTGTAAAGAATTTAAGAAACTAGAGTCCCAGAAATTGTCTTGTTGGTGAATCACTTTCTTATTCATTGAAATCACTGCAATTTGAATTGCAGCTGAGAGGCCTTTATGAGTCTTTCTTGGCACTTGATTCTTGATATCTGAAAGCACAGGACTCTTTTGATTAATAGGCACTACGATGTTTTTATTTCATGTGATCATTTAATTACATGACTCAAAGAATAATGATGCCCAATGAACCACAAAAGATTCTGCCAGAACTTGAACTCACTTAAAAAGTGCTATAACTAGAACAAAGAGTAGTCATGACTCCATTAAGTGAACAGCTGTTACTATCATGCTTCATTTTCATGAGAAATACATTCCCCTTAGGGCAAAAAGGAACCAGAATAGAACATTTTGATTGAATAGGCTTTCTCAGAATTATGATATTACTTTTTTTAAAGTTTTAAAATATTTAAATTTTAAAAAGAGTTCAGCTCATTTCATCTGAAAGTACAAAATTTCCAAAGGTCAACAGTTGGTTGATTATAAAGGTCAAAACAGTACTTAATTCTTTGAAATATTGAATTATTATTAAAGAAATATTTTAAATAGACTAGTGTATTTAAAGAAATTTTACAGCCAAAGATTTGTCATAAGATGGTTGCTTTGCTTCATAAAAATTAACTGTCTTAAGTTCCCACAAAATGGTGTTAATCCGCATTATCCTTTATTGTATTCATGTTTGGTAAAGTTAAATAGATAGTATATTTCTAATTGAGCAAGAATGAACTAGGTGTTGAAAGCAAATTATAACCTTAACTATTTGAGGGGTCAAAACATCCATCATTAATGGAAATGAGTGATGGAGCATTTTGTTTAACAGACTCAGAGATGTCTCGTGTGTATGCGTTTGTGCATGCGTTTGTGTGTGTGTGTGTGTGTGTGCTCGTTTTTTTTCATAATGCCAACTTAAGACATGGAGGTTGTATTTCAAAAAAGCCCCGGGTTGATAGTGTGCAAATATAGCTACCCATTTATAGATGAAGAGGTTTTATGCATGAGTAAGGAATAATATATTTTAACAACTGTTGCTTCTGAATGTTGTGTAAGAACTATATGGTGTGAATAATGATTACTTGTTGTTCAGGACCTTTTTTCCTGTCTCCTATACTATCCAGAGCGATTGTACTTATGACACTAGTCCTTAAATACCACGTTAAATTTATGTTTAAATGATGCCCTCAGGCTGATCATGTTATAATTCTAATTAGATTCCATTGTGGATGCTACTTTTACCAAATAACTACAGTTAATTCTATCATGCTATTTACATATGATATTTTAAAATTTCCTAATTTGACTTTTTAGATCCAATCATGTCTCAGGATTCAAGATTATGTTGACTGTTGTCCATTTCTTCTTAAGTATCATTTGCCAGTGATGACCGTTTGATAACTTTCAAAATGGATTCATCCACTTTAGTGTAGTAGTGTTAAGTCTGAGAAGAATGGCCTTCCTCCTCAACAGCTTATTTATTCATGCTTTCGTGTTTTGTTTTGTTTTTTGTTTTTGTTTTTTAGCTGAGCCATCCTGCCGCCTGTTGGCAGCTCAGCAGTTGCTCAGCTCAAACCGGGACTCAAACCGCTGTTGCTCAGAGCTCACAAGCTTGAGCGAGCACTTAACCAACTGAGCCACTCGGCGGGCCCCATGCTTGCTTTTTTTTTTTCTCACCTGTGCTTCTGATTCCCTTTTTCCCAACATCACCCACTTTCTTTCACGAGTGAGAATGTTGATGATTCCCTTCTTTTACTTCGTAGGTCAGCCTGAAAGCTGCCTAGAATTTTAATGCATTTTTAATCTCATAATTGCAACTAAATCCTAGGTGACATTCAAGAACTCTTCAATGTAAATGAGTTATTTCTTGTTCAGGAGAGCACTTTTTGGAATTATATCAGGCCATGAATAAATTCTAGTGGCTTCCTCTGCTAACAAATGTGATCTTAACACCTATGAGTTTTCTTTAAGTTAGGGTATCAAAAAATAGGTTTTTTTATTGTGGTATAATTGACATGTAGCATAATATAGAGGGTGCCAAAAAATGTATACACATTTTAAGATAGGAAAAAACTATATTAAAATTGTAATACTCAATATATACCCGTAACAAAAGATGAATACAAGTCACGTTTGACTTCTGCAGTTACAAGGGGTTCTAAAATTGGTTACCATCAGTGTAATTTCAATAGAGTTTTTTCCTTTCTTAAAATGTGTATACATTTTTTGGCACCCTCTATATTGGTTTTAGGTGCACAACATAATGATTCAATATTTGTATACATTGCAAAATAATTACCACAATGTCCAGTTAACATCCATCTGGACATGGAGTTGCCATACGGAGTTACAAAAAAATTTTTTTGCAATGAGAAGTTTTAAGATCTACCCTTTTAGCAACTTTCAAATATGCAATAAAGTATTATTAACTATAGCTGTCGTGCTGTACATTACATTTCCAGGACTTACTTATTTTATCACTGGAAGTTTGTGCGTTTTGACCCCCTTCACGCATTTCACCCACCCACCCCCACCTCTGGTAACTACCAATCTGTTTTCTGCATATACAAACAAGCTTCAGCACTGTTTTTTTAGATTCCATATATAAATGAGACCATTTAGTCTGTGCTTCTCTGTCTGACTTACTTTGTATCACGTAATGCCCTCAAGGTTTATCCGTGTCGTCACAAATAGCAAAATTTCTTTCCTTTTTTATGGCAAAATAGTATTTCTAGCAATATGGAAAGAAAATATCCATGGTATGATACAGATCTATATTCATAGGCTATTCCTATCTTATAAAACACCATTGATTTTACCCTGAGGAATGAGGATATTATATATATATAAAATTAACATGACATTGGAAACAAAAAACTAACACATATCTTATTCGTAGCCTAAATAGGCTCAAGTTTTCTTTATTAACTGTGATAAGAAAATGGCTTCTTGGATTGTGTCTATCCAATCCTAAACATTCCACATGCCATAGGGAGGAAAAAAATCAGTTGTTATATTAGATTTCTACAGCACCAAATAATATGTCCAATGTTGTTTGAATTTCACCTTTTGTCTAAATATTTTGGGATTCTGTAGACAACAAATAGTTTTACCATCCCATTTCAAACCCCATAAGGGATACGGATTTCTAATATGTCCACTAAATAACCCTTGCTTACTCAATTCCTATACTTGGAAGCTTGTCATTTTCATGTTTTTTCCTAAAGTTTCTCTCCTGATTATAATTTCACTTTCACTACCCTCACAGCTAAATCAATATCAATTTACTCTCATCCCTGGCTTCTTACCTTGCTACTATGCCCTAGGGTCTTTAAAAATCACAAAAACTGGAAACCTAAAAATAGAAAAGAAAAAGTATTTAGTTTATAGTGAGAGAGGAGTTCAGCAACACGTATCCTATGTGTGAATTTGCAAGGACACTTATGCTATTGCCTTGTTTTCCTGGATTTCCCACCACCAGCTCTCACAACTACATAGGGATTTTTTTTGAGGTTTGAATCATATGACTCTGCTCCAACTTCAGTGATGCATAAATTGGCATTTTTGCCTTAAGATACTAAATTGAAGCCTGCTCCTCTGACTGAGTTTCCAGCTCACAACACCCCAAACCTTTGGCAATATATTATCCTAACAGTCTCATTCAAAAAGACTTCAGTAAAAATATAAGAATAAAGGTCTCTCTCTCTTTGTAGGAGAACATCTCCTTATCAGGTTAAGATGATCACCATAGAAAGTTATCTGCAAAGAATGTCTATGGTGGGTGTGAATTGACTTGGGCAAAATACCTGAGTAATTATTTCTGCTTAGATTATTTATAGCAAGTATTCAAATATTTTACAGTATTAAAATACTTCAGTACTAACACAAAAGAGCCTAAACATTATACAAGAAATCTGACAAATAGAATACTTT